CACGTGTGTGTGGGCCTGATAGTATGCACCTGCACACGTGTGTGTGGAAACCAACGGTCACTGTCTGGTGTCATCTTCTTTTTATCTCAACCTTGTTTATTTGTTTTTGAGACATGGTTTCTCTGTGTAGCTGTGGCTGTCCTGGAACTCACTATGTAGGCCAGGTTGACCTCAAAATCAGAGAACTGTCTGTCTTTGTCTCCAGAGTGCTGGACTGAAGGCATGTACCACTGTTCCTGGCTCTGCCTTATTTTGAGATAGTCTCTCTCTGAACCTGGAACTTTTCATTTCAGTTAGCCTGCTGGCCAGCAAGTTCCTGAGGTCCTCTTGTTTCTAGTTTCCCAGAGCTGGGGTTTTAGGCACACCACCACGTCTGATTTTTTTGTGTGTGTATTCTGGGGAATACAAATGTGGGTACCCACGTTTGTGCACCAAACACTACCCACTGGGCCATCTCCCCAGCCTCTGTGCCTTTTTGGTTCTAAGGAAAAATGCCTTTTGCCAGAACCTGCTCTCTGTAAGTCAGGGTAGGAGGTGTGGACTCACCCGCTCTGACCACAGAGACACTGAATCCTCAGGATGACTGGGAGGAGAGACTCTGGGGAGGGGAGTTCCTATTGCCTCCCTTCACTGTGAAGTGGACTTGAAGCCATTGTTTGTGCTCACTCTTTTTTTTATATTTATTTATTTATTTATTTATTATGTATACAATATTCTGTCTGTGTGTATGTCTGCAGGCCAGAAGAGGGCACCAGACCTCATTACAGATGGTTGTGAGCCACCATGTGGTTGCCGGGAATTGAACTTAGGAACTTTGGAAGAGCAGGCAATGCTCTTAACCACTGAGCCATCTCTCCAGCCCCTTGCGCTCACTCTTTTTTTTTTTTTTTATATTTATTTATTTATTTATTATGTATACAATATTCTGTCTGTGTTTATGCCTGAAGGCCAGAAGAGGGCACCAGACCCCATTACAGATGGTTGTGAGCCACCATGTGGTTGCTGGGAATTGAACTCAGGACCTTTGGAAGAGCAGGCAATGCTCTTAACCTCTGAGCCATCTCTCCAGCCCCTGAGCTCACTCTTTAAAAATTTGCTTTATTGCTTTATCTTAATTTCCAATCTAAAGGTGTAGATAGTGTGTCTGTGTGCATGTGTATATGTATGTATTGTATGTATGTGTGTGCATGTATATGTATGTGAATGTGTGTATGTGTGTGTATATGTGTTTGTGTGTGTGTCTCTGTGTGTATGTATGTGTGTGTTTATAGGTATGAATGTGTGTATGTGTTTGTGTGTGTGCATGTGCGTGTGTGTGTGTGCGCACTAACTCTAGACTCTCTGGATTTGAAAAGATTCTAGCAACTGTTAAACGCAAAAATTGCTAAGGGACAAGAAAACAAACAGGAAGGGGAGTCACTGACTTCTGCCATAGAACATCAACTGCTCATGAATTAATCTACACACCCAGTGCTATTTCAGAATACTCAGGGCGTCTATCTCAAGACAGCAAAACGTGTTTTGATGCTCACCTGAAAGAATGCATTTTTAAAAAAGAAGAGAAAATGTGTTCTGTTTAATATTAAAAAATTATAAAATTATAACTTTAAAGGTTAAATAAAAATAGGTTAGTTATCTACAGGTAGGAAGAGGGGACAGGCAAGCTCGTGGCAGTGATTCCAGCTTGAGAAGAGAAGTGTCAGCCAGGGAAAGGCTGTTCCAAGGCTGGGACAGCTGGGAGCCTCGAGGCAGCAAGTTAGATGTTAGCTTCATGTGTTCACAAAAGAAAACATGGTTCTATAAATATTAGGTGTAAGCACATGAGAGAACCCAGTTTAAATATGAGTGAATATTTACCTCCTTTCATGGTTGGAAAGGCCTCTTTGTGCCTCCACAAACGCCAGAGTCCAAAGCAGGAGTGCAGGCACCGACTCAACAACAAAACCAGCATGTTAAAAACAACACTGTGTACGCTTGACGGCCACAGGCAAACCTTGGAAAATGTGGTGACAGTCTCTGCCTCAAATGGGTTCACTTCTTAATATGTAAATTAAAGCAGCCCAAGGCTGTGTTATATTTTTACTGGACAGGTTTTCTCCAGGGTCGTGTCCAGCATCGGAAACCATGCAGGGAATGGAGACAGGTGCTCTTCCATCAGACTTATAAACTGTGGTGTGATGGGGCTTGGGAGGTGGTCCAGCAATTAAGGCGGCTGCAGCTCTTCTGAAGGCTTGAGTTCTGTTCTCAGCACCCACATCGGTGACTCACCACTGCCTTGTAGCTCCAGTTCCAGGGAATCTGATGCTCTTCCTGGCACGGCCATGCCTGACTTTGCTCCTGAGACCCCTGGTCTCAGCACTCCTGTATTCAGCACACGGAAGGACTGTGTACCCAGACATGTTCACCAGTGTCAGGACTTACAGAGTGAATCTCTCTATAGAAAAGGAGTTATTAGAAGGACTTAGAGGCTGTGGTCCAGCTAACCCAACAATGGCTGCCTATGAATCGAAGATCCTAAAATCCAGTAGTAGTTCATTCTACAAGGCTGGATGTCTCAGCTGTTCTTCAGTAGATACTAGAATCCAGAAGAAGAAGAGGAAAAAGAAAAGAAGAAGGAAGAGGAGGCTCTAATGCCAGTGAAGGAATGGACTTGTTAAGAAGGTCAAGAGCAAGCAGGCAGAGAGAGAGAGAGAGAGAGGGAGGTATAGCTTAATGGGGGCTTGCTTCTTTCATGGCCTAATATAGGCTTCCAACAGAAGGTATGATCAGATTAAAGGTGTGTCAAAAACCAGCATTAAAGGTGTGTCTTCCTACCTCAAAGATCTTCTGGCTCCGAAGACGAGTCAGCAGCCGCGACAGGTGATGCAGTTGTCAGGCAGGCTTCTTTGTTTGAAAGGTCCCAGCACCCTTTAGACCTCATATATATTGGTTTTTCGAGACAGGGTTTCTCTGTAGCTTGGAAGCCTGTCCCGGAACTACCTCTTGTAGGCCAGGCTGGCCTCGAACTCACAAAGATCCTCCTGCCTCTGCCTCCCGAGTGCTGGGATTAAAGGCGTGCGCCACCAACACCCAGCTCTAAAATATAATCTAAAATAGGGAGGGGCAGCTTAGGAGGTAAAGGTGCGTTTTGCTGTCAACACTGATAACCTGAGTTCTACCCACATGGTAGAAGAATAGAACTAACTCTTGAAAATTGCCTTCTGACCTCCACATGTGTGCTGTGGCAAGTGCACACCTACACACACACACACACACACACACACACACACACACACACACACTTACCTACATGCACATATACACACCTCCTACCCACTCACACACGCACAAAATAAATAAATAAATGTAAAAGAATTAGTAATGAACCCCTCCATGCTCTTTCTCTAGGGCTGGATCCTGGATGGCATCCCTGAGAGGCGGGAACAGGCGCTGATGATCCAGACTGTGGGGCTGGCGCCCAGGCACGTCAGTGAGTAGACACCCCCCCCCCCCGGCCCCAGCTGCCCCGAGCGTGCAATATGAATATGAATCCTGCTCTTTAACACTGGCTCCCTCCCTTCTTCTCCCCTGGGTCCAGTCCTTGTCCATGGGAGGGTTTCAAGGGCTTGGAATCCAGAAAGAAAAAGACGCATTAGGTAAGACCTTGCTTCAGTGACAAAGCTAATGTGTGGAGAGAGAGCTTGTCATGTAGAAAAACAGGCAATCTCCACGCTGTGGGCCTCTTCAGGAAACCAAGGGAAAGGTGGCAGGGACCAATCACAGAAAAAGTCTACATGGCGATTTCCCACAAGGAAAACTGCGGACCAGTGACTTGTTCCACCGGGGACTGTCTGTGGGATGGTTTAGGGCTATCTAGGAGATGGGTGACATGGGGGGCTGTATGTCATCACAGCAGAGGCCCCGAGGTTCAAATGTGTGGCCCCTGAGCCCTGAACACCTCGCTTGTTCCTTTCTTCTCTGCCCAGTTGTGCTTAATGCTCCTGATACAGTCCTGATCGAGAGAAACATGGGGAAGCGGATTGACCCCAACACTGGAGGTATGATGACCCCACCCTCGCCCCAAGGCATTCAAGAACAGTAAGGGGCTGTCCCGTCCCGCCCTCTGCTCCAGGACCCCAGGGGGCCGCACAGAAGCCCCAGCAGGCAAGAAGAGAGAAACATCAGGGGTGAAAGGCAGTCTTGTTTTCAGGGACCCGGACTCTCTGGGTTCTGAAGAGCTTGCCTTGAGTCTCGGAACCACGCACTGGGGACACGGTACAGGGGGCTGGTGTTCTTCCTGGGAAACTGTGTGCCCCACACGGCTTGCTCCGAGTGTGGAGAAATACGGCACATGAGTTTCCTGAGAAAATTGTCCTGTGCCACAAACGGATCTAAAGTGGCCACATTGTTGGGGGTAGAAACAAGAGGAAGGTACCTACCTCTCTCGGGTTTGGTTTTCTCTGGACTTGGGGTAGAAGCTTGAATTGCTCTGAGGACAAATTGAGTATGTAGGCCTACCTCAGGGCCTAGTGCAAAGTCAGCACTCAGGAATCTGTGGCTGCTCTTAGTCCTGGGCTGAGGGGCACCGCTGTCCTTCTCGAGATGAGCTGTCATATAGTCTAGGTCGGCCTTGTGCTTGCTATGTAGGCAAATATGACCTTGAACATTTGATCTTTCTGCCTCCATTATAAATGGCCTAAGAATAGAGAGTCACTTGAGGGTCCCCACATTTAGAATGTCCTGGAGGGAGGAGAAAGGCATACCAGCCATCGGTCTGAGAAAGTTGTCATGACTCCACCAAGTATGTAAATGCCACAAGCCACCACACTTGGTCTAAGAGGTGCTGGGAATTGAACCCAGGACCTTGTGCATTTTAGGCAAGCACTTTACCAACTAAGCTACATCTATCCCCAATCCATCATTGTCTTTTTATTGTTGTGACCAGCAGCTGATGTTACTCGTGCATTGTTATATGTAAGAGCCTTGGTGGTGGGATGGTGAGTCACATGCCCTGGCAACGAGACAGGCAGTGCAGCAGAGCCCGCGGCAGCCCTGGGTGGGTACTCCAACCCCGTGCCTCTCCCTGCGCAGAGATCTACCACACCACCTTCGACTGGCCCCCCGAGCCTGAAATACAGAACCGGCTGATCGAGCCAGAAGGCATCTCAGAGATAGAAACAGCGAAGAGGCTGCTAGAATACCACAGAAACATCATCAGGATTCTTCCTTCCTACCCCAAAATCCTGAAGATCATCAGCGCAGACCAGCCATGTGTGGACGTCTTCTACCAGGGTAAAGACAGGCTGCCCCACATTGAACCACACAAGGGCTGGGGTCCCTCTGACCACCTGACCACCCTGCTCATCCCACTACCCCTCAGACTGGCAGCAGCAGCAGCTGGGATGTGTGGGGACCCTGAGTGACAAGTTGATGGGTCATGCAGGGACCCCTGGGTGTGACTCTATCCCCAGCCACAGAGTGTTTGGGGGGATATCTCCCTTTCTTTATCCACAGAGTGTTTGGGGAGGGGTATGATGGTAGCAAAGACCTGAGGCCTGATCTTGAATAAGAAGAAAGAGAACTATATAAAGATTAAGACAAAGACAAACACATTCATTATCAACCCAAAGCAGGCACGGTACTCCACGAGCTGGGATAGATTGCCTGCTGCCCACCACCAGACCGCATGGCCAGCCATATAAGTGATAGGCGTTCAAGGGCAACCTTGCAGAAATGGGCTATTTATAAATATTTTTAAAATATTTAAGTTTTGACGTCTCAAAATCCTCTTATCCCCTCACGTGTGCTACCAGAGGAAAAGGCACTTAAAGTATTTCAACACAAGAAGGTGTCAGCAGACCTTTGAGGCCCTTGATGGCCCCTTTCTTGTAGGCGCTTTAAATCTCTTCAAGGAAACAGAATTGAGACGATGGTGTGGCTCAGTTGGTAGGACGCGTGAAGTGTTGGCTTCCACATAAAACCTGGCATGCAGGCAGGAGGAACAGAAGATTAGGGCCTCTCTGTTATACAGAAATTTTGGAAGCCACCCTGGACTGCCTGAGACCATGTGTTTTTTTTTTTTTAAAAAAAAAGACAGACCAGGCGGTGGTGGCGCACACCTTTAATCCTAGCACTTGGGAGGCAGAGGCAGGAGGATCTCTGTGAGTTCAAGAACAGTCTGGTCTATAAGAGCTAGTTCCAGGGCAGGCTCCAAAGCTGTAGAGAAACCCTGTCTCGAAAACAAAACAAAACAAAAATACAAAAACAAAACAAAACAAAACAAAAGACAAATCATTTTAAGTCAAGTGTGGAAGGACATCTCTGTAAAGCCAGTACTTAGGATGCTGAGGCAGGAAGACAGACAATTTGTGGCCAGCTTGGGAAGTATAGGGTGACCCTGCTGCAAAATTTTAAATTTAAATTTGGAAAAACTCGGAGGGCTACCGGTGTGGCTTCACTGGTGGAGCGCTTGCCCAGCGTGCCCCCGAGGCAGTGCCTGCACTTGCCAAGTAGAGGCAGGGATATCAAAAGTGCAAAGCCATCCTCAGCTGTGTAGCAAATACACGAGACCCTATCGTAAAAGGGGGGGGAGGGAAACAGTGTTTGTTCTGCGAGCATGAGAGTCTAGGTTTAATCTCTAGCACCCATGTAAAAAGGTCAGGTGTGACAGGACATACATGTAATCCCAACACAGGGACGAACAGACAGACAGATCCCAGCCTCACCTACTTGGTGGGCTCCAGGCCCCTGGGACTTTATTTCAAAAGACAAGTCGGATGGCTCCCGAGATTGTCCTCTGACTTCTAAATGTGCACACACACTCCTGGGCGCCTGTGAGCAAGCAAGCACACCCTCACACACACCAAAAAGATAAGTGTCCTTTTGATTGGGTATGGGTTTCAGACACTTCTCTGTCAACCCTCTGCAGCCTTCTCTGCCTGGGGCCTCTCTGCACTCTCTGGGGAACCCCAAGCCCTCTGCCGCCTGCCTTCACCAGTGGGCAGGCGTCCGGAAGGTGGTACTGTGTAACATGTCAGGTTGAGACTGCCTTGAATTTTCCAGAGCTCTGCTTCTTGAGGAGATCTTTAGTAGCAAACACATGCTTTTAAGATAAACATCTACCATGTTAATCTTATGCCACGGTTCCGAGTTTACACATTAATTACTTCTAAATTGCTTAATTAAATTTAAAAGTGCATATGATCATTCATAAAGAATTCATGCCTGGAATTGTAAATAAAAATGTGAGCATCTAAATATTAATTATTATTAATTAATAATGTGGAGAGATAAGTTGAAAATCGGACTGCAAGATTCCCTCTGTGTTGTTTTTTTAATCTCAGTGCATCCAGGCGCCATCTATTTCCAAAAAGAATAACTGGATGTGGAGACCGTCTGGGGGATCGTTACTTCTAATTAACTTAGTTATTTACTGTAAATTAGGCATCATTTGTAAGCAGGCTGCTTCTCTGTAGTGTCTGTGCTTTTGAGAGGTTCTGGGTTACAGAGGCCTGAGAATTGGGAGCTATGGAAGGGTCTCCTGCTTTGGGCTGCCCTAGAGGAGGAACGGTACCCCAACCGTAACTTTGAGAGAGTTGTCATGACTCTACCAAGACTCCAGACAGCACTAACTGTCTGTCCAACAGGACAAGGATGATAGCTCCCTCATGAAATGGCAGGCCAAACAGATGAATATTTAACTTAGCAGTTCACACGTTGCCACGGTGCGATGTGTCCACAGTGGTGGTGACCACAGCCTTAGTGGTGGTGACCACAGCCTTGGCGGTGGTCAACTCTAACTCACTGTGCTGCTAGTTCTGAAAAGAAGGAACTGTAAACCCTAATGACCCAGTGAGATGATCCCGTAACGATGCCAGAGTTCAGGGCAGGGATGACAGCTCAGTTGTAGGGTGCTTATGCAGGCAGGGGGCCCGAGTTTGGATTCCCAGCACCCCCTACCAAGGCTGGCAACGTGAGTTTGATCCCCAGGACTCACGCGGTGGAAGGAGAGAACTGACTCCCTAGCACTGCCCTTTGATCTCACACGCACTGTGGCGTGTGCATGGATGCAAACTAATAAATTCAATTAAAAAGACATTAAAGGCTGGTCTAATGACGCAGACCTATAATCCTGGTTATGGGGAAGCAGGGACAGGTAAAGTTCAGGTTCAGTGAGAGACCTAAAAATATAAGGTAGACAGTGACTACCAACATTGACCTCATGGCCCCATATGCAGGAACTTATATGCACACATGCAACCCCCCCCCACATAAACATACGCATGCATACCTATGGATAAACCATACGTGCAACCCCCCCATATAAACATATGCATGCATACCCATGGATAAACCATACATGCAACCCCCCCAAGATTTCAAAGTCTGTATAATGAACAAATGCTGTTGGCTCTCAATTGGGCTCCTTTTGCCTCACTACCTCCAGGGGCAGACAGTTGACTATGTTCAAACACATTTATTGGTTGTGCTATTGGCATCTCATGGATAGAAGCCAGGTTGAGCTTCAAATGCCACTTGAGCCACAAGATTGGAAAATCCCATGATGGGCACACCTACAAATCCCCCCTAAGATGAGCCCTTCCTCATGATGGGATCTCCTTGACAAAGGAAGATTGGCAGGTGCCACTCGGAGCTGCCCTTAGGTAGGACAGCCTGGGGGCCTTGGCAGAAGGTGAGGTCTTGAGGGAGGAGACTTTGTCTTGAAGGCTGTGCAGACCGAGTCTGCAGCCTCTGTGGTGGCCAGCTGTCCTATGCAGGTTCCCTCCAGGCAGCTCTCTGGCAGCCCCTCCTCCTGTTCTCACATTTCCCCTCTTCAGGGTGGGCACAGAAGGGGACCTGCTTGATGTGAAGTACCTCTTCCCTGAACTTTCTGGCGTCCTGTGCCTTCCCACAGTGAAGACTCCTCTTTGTTCAAGATGTTCACCCCTGTCTTTCCACCCTTCTCTTCATCAAATGCCAGAGGAACAGCACAGGTCAGGAGAATATGGCGGAGTCGGCCCGCTCCTGCGACCTTTTTCATTACTGCCTTTTTGGAGTCTCGGAACAAAGTTAGCGTCCCTGGAGTGAGGCCGTACAAATTATTCTCCACCGATTCCAGAGTCCTTTAGAAGTCCCTGCACACCAGGCCTCTTCTCAACCCTCTGCACTTATCAAAGCCTTTGTGCGACACACAGCACTCGCCTCCCCTAGGAGACCAGCCTGGCTCTGGGGCTTCAGGTTAGAGGCTCAGGCCGGATGAAGACTGGAAAGCGCCTAACTGAACAGTAAATGAGAGGTGCTTTCCTGTCTAGGGCAGCCTCCCACCTCCAACACACTCAGCGGGAACTGGGGGAAACAAGGCTGCCTGCTGCACGCTGTGGAGCGGTTCCAGGACAGGGCTTAGAAGCTGCATCCCTCCCTGTGCACCTCGGTGCCTGGCCGCGTGGTTCTTCTGCGGTTCTTTTCCCTGATAATTCCTTGGTGGTTCGAATGTCAGGTGCACTGAAGGGTCCCGCTGTGCTGCAGAACCCATGCAGGAGTGTGAGCGGGCTCCTTTCCTCATCGGACCTGGGTTTGATATTCTCATTTGCTCTTGTTCCAGCTCTGACTTACGTCCAAACTGGCCACCGATGCAATGCCCCATTCACCCCCAAGGTGCTGCTGTGTGGGCCATTGGGCAGTGGGAAGAGTTTGCAGGCGGCCCTTCTGGCTCAGAGATACGGCCTTGTTGACAGTGAGTATCTCACCGGAAGTGTGGCTACCTGCCTCCTACCAGCCCGGGCTTTGTGTGTCACTGGCTGTTGGGAACATTCTCCTTCCTGTTCTTGCTTGTTAACCTTTCCTACTCAGTTCACCTCCGTCAGCATAGAAAGTTTTTCTTCAGAGGACATCACCATGAAGACAGTAACCCATTAATCACATCCACAACCCAAGGGGCCCGAACATTTTCTAGCTGTCCATCTTCATGTCCCCTAGAGCACTCCCCTCCCCTCCCCCCCGCCCGCCCCCCCGTGCGTCCCAGCAGCCCCCCACTGGGTCCTGCTGTTTCCTTCTTGGCCTGGCTCGGCTCCCCCAACCCAGGTCAGTGTGACAACAGGCAACACTTTCTGCACCAGAGGAAGACGCCTTGCTCTGCACAGTTTCAATAAATATTTCACCAGGCAGAGAGAAAAATATTGAAATCAGCTCTCGGGGTCTTTTGCCGACGTAGTCCCAGGTGGCCTGGGCTGCTGGCCTGTGTTAGTGGGATCGAGGGCCAGGAGGGAGGGAGAAGCGACTGCAGACCCACAGCGTGGTGCTGGGGTGTTTAAAGGTGCTGCTCCCCTCCACCCACCGTGTGCCACAGCCCACTAACCTCTCAGAAAGTGACTGTCCCCAAGGACACAAATATGCACATACACTGTCCAAATAGTACACACATGCAAGTCTATCTAGAGACAGAGTGTGGTTAACCATGGCCACACTTGGAATAAATGTGTGCCTTTTAAGACATTTGTCACTTAAAGACATGGGGGATGAGGTGGAGAGACAGCCGTGCTGTTACCCACACTTCCCCAGGCTTCAGTTCTTGGTAAGATGTGGGTTCCCACCTCCCCTTGTTTCCTCTGAGCCTGAAGACTTTCCTTTAACATTTCTTTCCCTTAACAACTGTCAGTGACAAATTCTCTCCCTTTCATATGTCTGAAAATATCATTTTCTTGCCTTCATTTCTGAAGAATGCTCGTTACATATAGAAATCTGTGTTGGCAGGCCTGGTTGTGGTTTTCCTTCCTCTCCCAGCTCTTTGAAGGCGGCGTTCCACTGTCGTCTGGCCTGTGTGTTCTGATGAGAACTCAGATTATTTTTGTGTCCTGTCACCCTGCCTACAGAAGCATCTTCTCTCCCCCTCTGGCTGCTTTTAGTATTTTCTCTTTCTCGTTGGCTTTTAACAATCTGAGTATAGGTGCATAAAGGAATGGCTTACTTTATGTTTATCCTTCCTGGGACACACACAGATTCTTGGATGTATCTGTCACCAAAATCTGAAATACCGCCACCGCTGTTTTCTGGGTGTTCTATGTCCCTCCACTCTGCTCCATTTTCTGGGACTCTGGTGATGTGTGTTAGCCTGTCCATCACAGCCCTGACCTGTCCACCACCCTGCTCTGTGCTGTTTTAGATTCTTCCTTTCCTCCTTTCTTGCCTTTAGACACAGCCATGTTTCTCGTTTACCAGATTGTATTGTCCAGTTCCAGGATTCTCATCTGGTCCTGTTTTTCTGGTTTCCGTGTCTCAGCTGGTCCTCATCTGTTTATTCATTTTAACTATCTTTTCCTTTAAAGTTGAAAATGCTCTTCTGCTCCACTGCCCTGCAGCCTTGGTGTGCTAATACTGACAATCTGTTGTCTGTTGGTTGAGTCTGTGTCCATTTCCTTTCTTGCATTAATTCTGACAATCTATTATCTGTTGATCTGATTCTGTTCTCCATTTCCTTTCTGCAGCCTTGGTGTGCTAATTCTGACATCAGATCTATTGTCTGTTGATTGGCTCTGAGTCCATTTCCTTTCATGCAAAAGTTTGCATTTTTTTTTCTGATTTTTCCGGTAGTTTTTATTTTCATCCTTGGACACATTGGTGCTTGTGTTGAGCGTGGATTTTGTGCTTCTGCATTAAGAACTTTAACTTTGGGTCAGCAGGATGGCTCAGGGGGTAGCACACAGGCTTCATGGCCTGAGTTTTAGACCCAGATTGATCAAGATGGCTGAGGAAAACTGCCTCCTGAGAGCTTTCTTTTGACTTCCACACATGGGCTAAGACACTTGCATACCTGTGTGTGCATGCATGTACACAGATACACAGACACACACCATAGAAATCCAGGTGACAAGGATCACAGCCCAGGGCTGCCTGTCACTGGAGCTGCAAAGCGTGCCTCCCCATCTTTCTCTGACTCCCTGGCTTCCTATGCTTCCTTCTTCTGCTTCCCTTCCTTCAGATACACTACCCACCGCGCCTCCCCAGCCAGAATTGGAGGCTGAGCACTGGGCTCAATGTCCGAACCTGCATTTGGGTCCCAGCCCTGTCACTATACCAGCTGACCTGGGTTATTAGCTCTTTGGGTCTCAGTTTCCTTATAAAGGGGCACCGGATGGTTGTCAGAACTGAATAATCAAAGGAAACAACGCAGTGCGCCGCGGAGAGACTCTCACACTGGTCTGTGGCTTGTGGTTTCCGCAGTTGTCGAGGACTAAGTCTGTGGTAGTTGGTCTTTGCTATGCAGATCATTTCAGGGTTTATTTTGGTTTCTTTCGTAAGAACAAGAAAATCCCTAACTGAAGTTTATTAGCCAAGATTGTATGACTAACAACATAGCTTTCAAGCCTTCTGGCTGGGTCTGGAAAGATAGCTCAGTGATTGGGGCTGGAGAGATGGCTCAGTGGTTAAGAGCACTAACTGCTCTTCCTGAGGTCCTGAGTTCAATTCCCAGCAACCACATTGTGGCTCACAACCATCTGTAATGAGATCTGGTGCCCTCTTCTGGGGAGTAGGCATATATGCAGACAGAACATTATACATAATAAAAATCTTTTTAAAAAAGATAACTCAGTGGTTAAGTGCTATATGACCTGTGACCTTGAGGAGGGGAGTTCGGATACCACCCACATAACAGGCCAGGTATCCCATGCACGCATGTAACCCCAGCTCCAAGAGGAGCAGAGGCAAGAAGATCTCTGGGGCTTGCTGGCTTCCAGACTAACCAAGGTTCAGAGAAAGACCCTGATTCAAAGGAACAGGCAGAAAGCAATAGAGACACCTGACACCCTCATATGAGTTTTTACACACACACATGCATGCATCCTCTCTCTCTCTCTCTCTCTCTCTCTCTCTCTCTTCCTCTCTCTCTCTCTCTGACACACACACACACACACACACACACACACACACACACACACTTGGGCTGAGGATATGCTCAGGGGCTAAGAAAATGTTCTGCTCCTTATAGAGGATTTGTGTTTGGTTCCCAGCACCCATGTCAGGTGGCTCACAACTGCCTGTAACGCCAGTTCCAGGGCATCTGCTGGCCTCTCCTGGCCTAAGCAGGCATCTGCACACCTGCGCACAGATGCACAGGCATAGGCACCATTGAAAAACAGCTCTGGCTTTGACGAGGGATGAGAGCCTGTGGGGTTTTTGTTTTGTTTTTCACTCACTATTCCCTGACCAATCCCTCCCTTGTGTTGGCCCTGGGTGGAGGCTGAAGACACAGTGGGCAAGACAGAAGAGACCCCACTGCAGTGGGCATGCAGCCATGGGGAGTGAAGAAAGTGACACCCACCAGGGGGCTCCAGCAGGGTCCTCAGTTATGACTTAGTGTGTCTGAGATGTCTCTTGGCCCTTTCATGAACCCACCATCCCTCCAGCACCATGCCAATGGAAGGGCTGGGGTATCGCCATGCTCCCCGACCCCCTTGCATCAAATGCTGTGAATATGAACCCAGCATGCCGCCAACTGCACACTGTTCCTCCACTGCAACCCAGAGAGCGCCAAGTCTGCTTGGCAATTCCGGGTATAGCCAGGGCCCTGCAGGAGCCTCCCTGTCAGCGACAGCCTCGTTAGTGTCTTCCCGAGCGGTCCATTTTTAATGCTCTTTGGCAAATGCATTCCTTTTCATTCCCCTTCTCCCTCTCCCTCTCCCTTCCAACTTCCTTTTTGATATTTGCTTCCTCTTGGACACCCCCCCCCACACACCCTTTTATATCTTTTTGGTGACCTTTCCCGCCCCAGCAGGCAGTGAGCCAGAGTGTCTTTTTTCCCATCTTTCCTTCTCTTTAAAATTTAACAGTGTCTCCACTCCTCTCCCCTCAGTCTGCTGCGGGCAGCTGCTGAAGGAAGCTGTGGCGGCCAAGTCAAGCTTCGGGGAGCTCATCCAGCCGTTCTTTGAAAAGAGGATGACAGGTAGGGCCACACTTTCCGCTACCCGCCAGCCTCGTGGCTCCAGGGCAGGTGCTCTGTCCACCTGCGGGCATAGGCCGGGGAAAGGGGGGGGGGCAGGCATTTGGGGATGCAGACGTGCCCCGGTTGTGTGCAGCAAGCTTTCTTGGACCGCCAGTCCCCAAATCATGACATGGAGACTCATTATTAATTATGAATGCTCAACCTTAGCTTAGACTAGTCTCTAGCTTTTTCTTTCTTTCTTTTTTTTTTTTTAACTTAAATTAACCTATTTCTATTCATCTATGTGCTGCCCTGAGGCTTGTTTACCTCATCTATGTGCGACTGTCCATCCTGCTTTCCGGCTTCCTCCATGTCTGCCTGTCTGGCAGGCTCCCCAGCAGGCTGTCCCCCAGGCTGCTGGCCAGGTCCCCTTTTCTTTCTGCTCACCAGCCCCGCCTATCTCTCCTCTGCCTAGTTATTGGCCATTCAGCTTTGTATTAGACCAATCATGTGTCTTCAGCAAGCAAGATAAAGCAGCAACGCATCTTTACACAGTTTAACAAATACAGTATAAACAAATATAACACATCTTTACATAGTTAAACAATTATTCTGCAACACAAACAAATGAGACACATCTTACATAGTTAAACAAATATTCTCTTCCACAACAGCTGTGGCTTGTTATTTTAGGAAATGCCTAGTGGCATCCACATCTGGTCCCACGCCAGGTAAGTCACAGATGTGGTGGCTTGCCACCAGTGGTTTAGAGCATTCTATTTCTTCCTGTTAAGAAGGTCCACTTTTCACAGATGGCCCAGAGGAGGCCTTGCTAGGGAAGCGGGATCAGATAGCCTTTCCATGGACTTTGTGTCATTTACAATCTGAAAACATTCTTGGATCTGAGTCTCCAGAAAGGGCACCTCTGGGCTTCCTGCTGGGTCAGCTTCCTGAAGCAGGGCGTGTTGGGCAGCCTGAGAACCAGTGTACACCTGCAATGCTTTCTGGCCTGGTTCAGATTCCAGTACTGCCCCAACCAACCAGTCATGTGGCCCAAAGAAACCCCCATGTGCTTCTCAAAGGTTCAAGTATCTTGGCAGTGAGATGGAGAGAGGCATCTATGTGTGCAAGATTTTCATGTTCATTGCCTGGACTGTCAATGCACAGGGCCCAGGAGGTGGGAAGCAAGGGCAGCTGGACTGGGACACAGCCCAGTCGGTAGAGTGCCTGCCAGGCATGCGTGAAGCCCTGGGTTGGATCCCCAGCACCACATGAATTGGGCATGGTGATGCCCACCCGAAATCTCAGCACTTGGGAGTTGAAGGTTACTCTACATAGCAAGTTTAAGGTCAGCCTGGACGATGTGGGACCCTTCCTCAAAAAGAAGAATAATAACAATAGCAGCAACAGTAGCAGCAAGCACAGTGACGCCTGATGTGTGTCCACGAGTCCTGCCCCCGCCCTACACAGTGCCAGGTTCCACACTGCAGATTTATGCACTGAGTGAATGGACAGGATCCCAGAGCATGGGCCCATGGGGTCTTGGCTTTTGCCCTATGCCATGCTATTTGTGACAGTGAAAAACTAGCTCCCACCAGCAAGCACCTAGGAGATCAGAGCTAAAGACAAAGTCAAGGAACAGAGCAAACAGTCATGGACTTTGCAAGGGATGGACCCTTCCTGTAACTTGTCCACATGCACCCCCTGCCATGAAGTTACAAAAAAATGTATTTGAGTAGTTTCCAAGTTTGCATCTCTTGGGTTATTTTATGAAGGGTGTTTTCTCGTGTGTATAAGCTGAACAGCATACCCAATTATCCACTGAAGGACTGCACCAAAAGTCATGCCCATTAGCAATGATGTATGGAATGCTGCCCCTGTGTGCATGCCTCTGTCAGTGTGTGCCTGCCTCCTCTGTCTCTTTACCACCTCTGGCTGTCACCAGCATGTTTGCCTGCTGTTGCTGATGTAACAGACTTTGTGGTTCAAGACAACACGTTTATTTTATTATGGAGGTCAGAAATCCTGAACTAAAGGGTTGTCCAGGACCTGCCTTCTTCTCCCTCTCTGAAGCCAAGCAGTGGAACACATCTGTGTCCTGCTCTGTCTCTGTCTCTCTCTTCTGCTTCTCTACATAGGCCTACTCACTCTGTAGACCAGGCTGGCTTGGACTCACACAGACCTGCCTGCCTCTGCCTACTGAATGCTGGGATGAAAGACATGAGCACCTCACCCAGCTATTCCTGGCTTCTTATTCCAAGGACCAAAATAATGACTCACACAAATGTGCAAAAGTAAAAAGGAAGCTTCACTTAAAATCAAAGCAATAGTGCGGATCAGAAGCACCCTGTCGACTGGTAGGGACCCCAGGAGTGGCTGTTGTTCACGGCTTTCTATTTGTAGGGTTTAGAGAGGGAGGAGTTTGGTTGCAAGGAGCCTAGTGAAGGCTGGTCTCTGTTTTGATGAATAGATTGTGTAAACCTTTCTTCCCATAATGTATCTGGTTTTAACCACACTCACTTAGGCATAGGCATAGATGCTAAATAGAGAACTTGCCCTAAAATGTTCTTCAAGGACAGTTTTTCTTACTACACATGCTTCTAAAACCAATCTAATCTATCCCAACCCATAACCCGTAGTTGTTGGTTTGTGTCCAGGACTGAGTGGAAATGGGGTATTATCAAGGGACATACTAAGGAGAGGATATTGGTTAGTTTTTGTCAACTTAACCCAAACTCATACATTCCTTGGAAAAGGGAACCTCAATTGGGAAGTTGCCTCCATCAGATTTGCCTGTGGCCATGTCTGTGGGCTCGCTCTTGATTGTTGATCCATGTGGGAGCCCACTGTGGGTGGCACCATCCCTAGGCAGATGGGACTGGGCTGTAGAAGAAAGGTGGCTAAGCAAGTCTCGGGGAACAAGCCAGTAAGCAGCGTTCCTCCATAGCCTCTGCTTCAGTTCCTGCCTCCAAGACTTCCCTCTGCCCTGGCTTCCCCTCTATGATGGGCCATAGCCTATAATATGCCAAATAAACCCTTTCTTCCCCAAGTTGCTTTGGGTCATGGTGTTTATCAAAGCAGCAGAAACCAAACTAGGACCAGGAGTAACTTGTTTCCATCATCTAAAGCAGGCATAGCTGCAGCTATATGTGGGTGGGAGTTCTTAGGCTGCATAACATGTTGCTGAGTGCATTGTTTGGGGAGGGGCGTGTGTGTGCACGGTCCAAGCGAAGCGGATGCTGAGATTGTGAAACTGTTCCTTATGCTTGCTGCCTCAAGGGTATAGATGTCCATTGGAGGCTGGGGGAGTGTTATTCTGCCTATCAGAAAAATAAACTTTGTTGATCTGTTTTTAGTTGTGACCACCTTTTTGATTACAAGCGAGGTTGGTAAGGTAGAATATAATATGATAAGATAATTGTTCTGTGCATTTCAGTTTTTGTGAATTGCTGTGGCTTGTGTTTCTTTGTACCCAATTTTTATTTGTTTTTTTTAATAAAGCGCTGGGGATAGAACGCTAGCACTAGGCAAATACACTGCCTCATACCCTTGCCCCATTGTCAGCGGAGGTCTGGGCTGTGTGGTTGCCCGGCTGCTTGCACATGTTCTTTGCTTCGGTGTTGTCCATTCTCCCACCAGGTCCTTACACCAACTGTATGCTTCAGGTCACAGGCTAGTTTTGAAGATTTGGTATTGTGCCTGAGAGTGTGGCAGCTTCTCCCCACCCCTGACAGTGACAGTGGGCATGCCATTGTCACTCCTGAGGTTCTCCTAGGGTGCTGTTCACTGCTTCTTTGTGGGGTCCTGAGGCATATGGCTCTCTAATTTTCTTCCTTTGCCTTTCTCACTGGGTGTGGATGCCAGGCGTTTGGCTTACTCAAACATCTCTAAGGTGCAATTGGGAGCAATGGGGAGCCATTTCCTCTCAGGATGTCTGGCTCCTTCAGCCTCCACTCAGACATGCTGAGGAGGCCCTTATGAGGCCTAGCTGACAGGCATGGCTTTCATCATGGCCTGGGGTCCTGTGACTATGGAAACAGGTGTGTGTTTCTCTGGACGGCTCCCTCCTTGGTGTTTTGTGCCGGTTTATTCCTCCACACCTCTGTGTTTGTTTAGACAACACACCGCCAGCCGTTCACGTTTCCTACAAATTAACGACCCAACAACCACCACTACCAGACCTTCGCCACAGAAGCAATGCATTCTGCTGTCTTGTCTCACAGCCTAGCAGGAAGTGTATTTACATAACATCTCCACTCAGGGCCTCATTAGTGGGCTTGGGAGAAGCTGCCAAGCCAGCCGGAGTGCTGGCCTTGGAGAGGGGACACACACACTGGGTGGCGGGGCCACTTCCCAAAATCTAGGGTATGTGGGGGGGGGGCGCTAATGATGCTCCACAGTTGTGTTTTGAGAGGAAGGTGGGGTAGAACAGAGGACAGCCACACCGTCCACAGTCATGCCTGCTTCTTGGAGGAGGCTGTCTGAGGAGCAATGACGTCTGTGACTAGAGAGTGCCCTAGCCCACAGGTGTGTTGACACTCAGGTGTGAGGACTGTTCCCAAATCCTGACCCTGTGATGGTTAGTGTTCTCTGTCAACCTGACCTGCAGCCGTTACCTAGGAGACAAGCCTGGAGGCGCACCTCTGCAGGATTGTCTTAATTATGGTAACTAATGCAGGAAAACCCAGCTTGCCTGTGCACAGGAACGTTCCCTGGCAGGGATCCTGGACTGTGCAAGTGGAGAAAGGGAGCTGAGCAGCAGCCTGCATTCATAGCTCTCTGCTTCCTGATTGTAGCTGCGCTGCCAACAGCTGTGTCTTAGTCAGGGCTACGATTGCTGTGATGAAAAACCTGACCAGAGCAACTTGGAGAGGAAAGGATTTATCTGGCTTACACTTCCGTGTCACTGTCCACCACTGAAGGAAGTCAGGACAGGAACTCATACAGGGCAGGAACCCAGAGGCAGGAGCTGAGGCAGAGGCCATGGAGGGGTGCTGCCTACTGGCTTGCTCAGATTGATT